GAGTGGACAAAACCGCCCTTTTATGATGTCAGGTAAAAGACGTTCACTTCCTGAAATGAATGAGTTCTTTTTTATGATGCATCGTTCACTAACTATAAACTTTATGAATAAGGTCGGGAATGAATCCAGAGCAGTGTGCTAGGATGGAGCGATGAGCGTGCAGATTAGAAGAAACATTGGGATCGGACAAATCCACTTAATCGAACCCCTAACTTTCTGGAGGTCCTTTTAAACTATAGTTTTGAGATTCATTAAAACCTCCTTTCCACACAAAATTAGTAATAAAATTCTAGACTAAAAGTTGTTTAAAATGTTAGGAAATTACAAAATTAAACTTCACTTTCAACGACTCTTTTTAAACTGAATCTAATGTGTATGATAAAACAAGGAATCGCATATGATTCGAGCAATTCTGGATCATTATCCATACATCTGTAGTCTTACACTTCAGTTGCATAGACTGTTAGGGTTTCTCGAAGTAAGGAGGCTGAAAAAAATCAGCTACACTGTCGCCAAGATTCGAGCCACGAAATCTTGCTATCAGCAGTTGGACTCCAGGTTCAAACACAGACCAACAGGCCGCTGCATGGTTGTTTTTCGTGATTTTCCCCAAGGTCTGTAGACATGCAAGGCCATGCTCTTTCGAACACGTGAGTTGATTGACGTCGTTTGACTCACAGAAGTAGGACATACGAAGACACAATTACATTTAGTTACGCAAGATGGAGCAGACTATGAATAAGTGACGACACAAGCTCAAAGATTTCTGATAGGGAAGAGCAAATCTTGTCGAACATTAACCTTGGCTTTTCCCATACGTTAATGGGTACGAGCTAGTTTGCTTTAAAAAAGGTTTTCACGGTTGCCTCCCTTCTTTTAAGCAGTTGATTTACATGCACAGTGATGCTACGTGATATCTAGTAGTGGGTTCTACAAATGGGTGGTCACTACAAAAACTCATTTATGCATATGGTATTGTTTAAACTAGGTGCTTGTTAGTGCATAAATTGGAACAAATAAATTATTTTTTTTCCACATATTTTTCCATAAGAAAATATGATCTGACCTATACTTTTGTTACAGTTAAACTCCGCCTTATTTAGCTGAAGAATTTACAGAAAGTAATAAATAGGAAGATATGTTGAATGATCGAAAAACAAAAATAATTATTTTAAAATTAAACAAAAACTTAAAAATACTGTAAACAACTATGCCTAGCAAACCATTTAACCCACGTTATTAAAAGATTAAACTTAAAAACGTAAAATTTAACAACTTTACAAAATGTACGAACTAACTGAAATTAGTGAAAAGATGAATGCTGGCAGTGAAAAAGTCATTTGGTGGCCTACGTAATTTATTTTTAGACTAGTTTGAAAAATTTGAACTACGATAACAGAAAAAAAGTCTATTACAACTAATTCTTTTTCCGCATTTTTATTGCATTTCGACTGAATTCCCAAAAAAAGGTTTACCAGAATCAAGGAAAAGATTTAGTTTAATTGACTTTGTAAGCTTCCTAATCCATGAAGAATGAATAAAATGGTTCCATATAAAATGAATTCATGCAGAATAAAAAATGGCAGCATCTTTCCACAAAGCATCAATATTGTTCTTTTGTGCTCGATATAAATACATTAAGTTATTATTATTTTTCTTATTCCTTGTATACATTTTTTGTTGAATTTTAAGCTGAAATACATTTTTTCCTTACATGTCGAAATCATATCTGCATGAATCAAATCTTAAGTCTGAACTTGTGTATAATTTAGAAAAGAGAGAAATCTTGCTTAAAGCTGTGGCTGTGCTAATGGTATTTTTTTTTCCTTCTCTTATTGTTACACTATTTATTGGATTTGTAAATTCACATAACGCTTGAACTGCAGATCTAAAAGCATGAGAAAATTTAATGAGCTAATTAAATATGAAACTTATTCTATTGGAATTGTTGTTTCTAAACTTAGCCTTAATTTATTTTCATTACTTTTAATCAAAAGTGTTTATGAAATACTGTGTGTTTCAAATACAAGTTTCACAAGGAAAAGCAGGAAAACTGGGAAGAGAATACAACTGGAAAGCTAGGTAAATACAAAAAGATAGTGAAGCTACAGCAACTTTTTGATGGCAGCGTTAACATGAATGTTACAATCGTGTTGTAAAGCAAATCGGCTTTAAACGAACCCGATACATAAAAGAAAGAGAAATATATTTCACAAATCTCTAAAGGAAATGTTTTATTAATTGAACTATATAAATATGAGAACTTTTCAGTCGTAATAATGTAAAATATTTATATTTATTTTCCTATTAAATTAGTATAAAATAAAAATTAATAAATGTTATCTATGTTAAATGCTGTAAAAATTAAAATACAAAAATCAACAATAAAAGTACTGTTTATATTAACTGCTATAAAAGTAAACTGAAAGCTAACAAACATTTTGTTTTAGTTGTAAATGCAGCATAATAAATTAATAAAATACTGAAAGTAAATGATTATTATTTCCATTAATAATTAATTGTAAATGGGTATAAGTTTTACGCATGCAGATTGCTCTTTTATTCTATTAAATTATACTGTAAAAGCTTTTCGCAACTAAAATTAATATAAAATATTCCTTTTCAAGTATATTACTAAAATAAAATGAAAATAATTTGTAATTAATCACAATTTGTGTTAAATTGTAGTTCGCCTGCGACTAACTGTCAAACTGAAATTTACATAGCAGCACTACGTAAGTGCTAATACACAGTCGTGTTTGATGTTGACTTACCACAAAATTAAACTATGGGCGGGAATAGGGCCTTAAACCAAGACTAAGGAAGGTCTTGGCTGAGGTTCATTCCGTGATTAGGAGGGTTTGGGACTACCTTCTAATGATGGAAGAGGTTGTGGTCTATCTGGTGTTATTAGAAGATACAGTCAGACATTATGGGTTGCCTGCTTCGCTGAAGAAAATATTAAGAATTCTTCCTCGCGCTTGCCTCTTATGAGAAAATTTATTTTTATTATTACTTTTTATGCTGAAAGTATTTAATAGTAAAGAGTCAATACTTCACGTAAGCTCCTCCTGCAGAGTCACTGCGTTTAAATTGTTCATTCTACCAAGGTTACTGTACTACAATAATTGCTCTTCTCGATCAAGTTCAACCATCGTGGTGACGTCGACGTCGTTGACGCGCAAAGACCTGTTTGGCATTAGTGCGGTACGATAGCGCAACGTGTGTTCTTCTCCAATCAGAACTAATTTTGATTGATATCTGTAATGCGCTGACGTCACTGTCTATGAAACGAAGGAAAGAGAAAGGTTTGATCTTGAAAGAATATAACCTTATTTGTCTGATGACCTTCGATTCTTCAAAAACCAAACCACATTGATCGGTATAGAGTTCGGCATTGTTGGCTGCTGTATCGTTGGACTCGAGCTCGAATCCCGGAGAAGGTTTAGATATTTCTAAACGTACAGTTTCATTATTTCATGGGGATAATTAATACACGAAGAGCTGAAACTAATGTCGTGTGGGCTTGGTAGTAGGAGAAGATGGGTTCTGGAAATTTGGACTATTTCCCTTTAAAAATCTCCTTCAAAATTGGGTCGGAATTTGCCAAAGAGGTACTTTCACATTTTAGGCACCCAACGACAGACGCAATAAAGCACTCCACAAATGTCAATCAAAGTCAGTTCGTTCGCTGATTGGAGAACCATTCCACCGTATTCGTACCATACTAATGGGAATGGCCCTTTACAGGTCAAGGACATCGACGTTAGCACGCTGGTTGACCTTGGTCGAGAAGAGCAAAGCGTGTAATAAAGGGACTTTACGTGAAACTACGCGAAACGAATGGACTGAATATATTTTGCTCTGTTTTTCAGAAGCTAAAAAACTGCGATATTATTTTGTTGCTGAAGCCGCCCAGACGGTATAGTGGTTAGGGAAGACTGACTGCGATATCAAAGGGCCGGGTTTTAATCGGAGTTCTGGAGAATATTATAAGATGTACTTTATTTCCCATTTATGTTTGAGGTCTTTTCAAAATAAACCTAATTTCGTTGTTTTTCCATGAATTTGTTTTAACGCGAATTCAAAGTAAATATTTCACTCTTTTTATGCATGCCATGTAGATTTAAGACGAGCGAGGCAAGCCAATTTCTAAGATTTTTTTTTTTTTTTTTTTTTTTTTTGTATATTCTAATAATGGTACACACAGTTTGTTAGATATAGACTCGGTAATCCTGTGGTTTAAAGATACCGATGAATTGTTAGCCGAGAAAGCTCAAGCGAAGATGATATGTTCGTAAAGGATCCATTTTTAATAAAGGATTTAATAGAAGAAGGTCTGGAACTGGACAGAAAAATGGGTAACCATTTTTCCAAACTTAATGACAGGAGTTTCAATGTGAAGTGAAGTTACTGACAGCCTCTTACAGAGACGGCATAGACGGCCAAACAAAACATGAACAGAACGATCAGTAAATGAATTCGTCCAAAAAACCCATGAAGCATCAGCATTAGAGGAAACTCAAGCTGATTTTTCTGATAGAGGCAGTCGGTGTCCAAAACATTTCTAGTAATAGCAGTGATATTCCAATCATAGTAAGCATATGTTGTATGCAGTATTTGTCAGAAAGTGAAGATCAATAACATGTTATGTTTAAAACAGACTTGTTTGGGCTCATGAAGAATTTTTTTAAAATTACAAATGCAAATTTGTTTTTTAAGACATTTTCTTTATATTATTACTCGTGCATTTTTTTAACAAAATAATAATTTAAAATGAACATTCTCTAGTTTTCTAAAATTATCTCTATTGATTTTTTGAGATCCTTATTCCAGAACCAATTTTTCTTTCTTCCATTGCCACAATGTCTTTTTTTACACGTATTCCTCAGGAACGTATCTGTCGTGTGAAAACAGATTTAGATGTACGAGTACAATTTGTTTCAAATATCTACGCAACCATATGTTATATAAATGAGCAAATTAACTGCATAACTTACTTGTGATTTGAATGAATGGTTATCTTGATGGAGAGTGGGAATAAAAGAGGAAATAAGAGAGCTTCGTTCCTTCTGCATACTGCAGCCAAGAAAGCCAAAGTGGGCAGATGGACCCTCAGATGCATGTTACCTGAAAAGCAAAAGCCTAGATAAAGTACATTTTATGTATTCATACATTTTTATTAGGTGAAATCTGTTCGCAACTACGAACCATATACGTCACCTGACATTTGACAATTTATTTTTCTTTTGCGCAACTCTAAAATTCCTTTTGGTTGCACTTCAGATAGTTTAAGAAAAAGTGGCTTGGAATCTTCGGTCGTAATGCATGCTCCTTCATTCACTGTTCAACAGATTCGGCACTACTATCATTTATTCAAATATCTCCCGCAAAAAAGAGCAAAGGAATTTCTAAAGATCTCCGGTTGAAAAATCTTCCGATCCTCTTATATACTTTTTTTTCCCTTTCTAAACCCTTAAATTTTCTTCTTTTTTTTTCCCTCCGAAGACTTCTCATGGCGCAGCCAGTGCACAAAGTAGGCGGCGCAGCCTAGGTCGCTATCTGTCCCGCGCGCCATTACACACGAGCTGTCCGTCAATAAATCTATTGGCGGTTCCGTGAAGTTTGTCCCAAAGGAAAAGAAATTCATCGGATCAACGAGATCGATGTTTAAAATATTGCAAATAAATGTGTGACTGCTGAGATGCACTATTTGCTTTTAACTTTGCCTTACGCCCTGGGAAAGAATGTAGCGATCCTTTATTGTAACGTGACGTTAGAGGTAACATCCACGTAACAGTAAAAATTTTATTATGGTGGTTTTTGAGGGACAAAAATTATTAATTTCTTAAACGGAAAAGTTATAATAAAGAAATTTAATAAAAGAAGAGGTGCAGGTTGAAACAAGACCAGCACCTGTTATATGCATGTAAGTATAGTATATTATGTCTACCTACAGGTATACCTATTATATGCCTACAGGTATTAGGTGTAGGGTTTTATCCTGCGTAAATATAACTTTAAAGTTCTTTAACCATGCCAGACTGACAAGTGGGTTATTTCTCCGTTTGTGAAATTACAGAAACTATATGTGAAGGTTTTAAACAATACTTTTATTTTAAATCTTGAACTTAACAAAATGCACAACTTATAAAAATTAAACTCCCCCACTTACGGGTAATGCAGAACAGAAATTTGAATCTACAGATTAAAGTGAATTGACAGCCGGAGAGTATAATATAAATGGCCTAACTAAGCGTTTGCTCAAATTTAGTTGCTCAATCTAACTTTTGCTAGCAAAATGGCTAATGCCATAATATTAACGTCTCGCTCTCAGCTTATATTAATTAATTAATATAAGCTGAGAGCGAGACGTACTACTAGAGAGCGTCACTATAAAAGCTTAATCTATAAAACTTTCAAGAACTGAACTGAACTGAAAGAAGAAGTGAAAGTATAAATCCAGCTCTTAATAAGACTAAATCATAAAGCGTACAAATGGGCTGGTTTTAGTGCTTTTCACCACGAGTAACGTGAATACGAGCCATTTTTTGTTAAAAAGCCATTAGAGAAGCATCTCAGCATCTCATTCCTTAGACATACAGATCTAATAAAATACAGTTCTAAATACCATATTTCCTCTTGAATTCTCCCCCTTTTTTCTAATTTTATTAACCGAAAACTGAAAGAGGAAATTTTTGCGAATAATTTAATTTTCGTAGGACGCAGTTCCAATTAGAACATGAAACATGAAAAAAAAAAATTATAGAAAAACTACGGGTAACAGTCATGATATTATGTTTTTAAAAGAAGCCTTCATTCCAGTAACAATACGCAGTAGTATTAACACTACAATAGCTAATAAGATATTTTCTTATCTACTTCCTTCTCTAGCTGAATCTTGCTCGTTTTTATTGTCGTCTCTGCTACTCTTTATGCTTCAGATCATCCATAAGTGATTATACAAGATAAATGTGCAGCTGACTCATCGAAATCGTGAACTGAATGTCAGTTTGTGTTTGCTTTGCCGAGATGGATCGGTTCTTGTATTAGGTTGACATTAAGTTCAACAATTAGGAGGGAAATGTTTCGGCATGACCTGTTTGTGAGGGTTTGTTAGTAAGACGAAAGCAATCTCTGCAGCTAGGAATCTGTTTTAATATTTAGGGAATCTCGTTTCCTGAGTGCATAGAAAAAGGGGTAAATTACGTGAATGCTTTTAAAATTTTTAGAACCCTGAACTTAAAAGCTAGGGGGTAAAATACGTGAGGGAAAAAGTTGTGTAATCCAATCCAATCTAAATAAGTCGCTACACTATCCAGTTACAAAGTCTGGTTCTTTTTTAGAATGAAGTGTCTAGTCGAGATTTCATTACGTTAAATTTCACTGACTTAGTTCACTTTAAATAACTAACAGGATGTTTTTTAAGGAAAGAATCAAATGCCTATTAGGCTAACATACTCATGTTATGCGGTGAAGAGGAATCAGGCTAATAAAGAATTTCTTTACTCAAAATATCAGTAGCAGTAATTTTTGGGTTATTAGGTATCTGAAAAATGTTTCCAAGGTTAAGATAAATACCCTTTTAAGCGCTGCTTTGTTATTACAATAACAATGATTTCCCAAAGAGACAGCGGAATGATTAGAATTGGGATAATGCAAACCTGGAAAAACTACATTACTTTTCAATGTAATAAATATTCAAAAAATGGTTGCATTACTTGACTGTGAGCAGAATAGAAATAAATTTCAATATATCTCGAGATATGTTATAGGGATATAAATGATTTATTTCTTTAGCGTATGAATTCCTCGTGAATATTTCACTTTCATTACGCGTAAGCTTTCTGAAAGAGAATTTTTTATACCTTTCGGATGAAATATATTCTTTAGAAGAAAATAATAGAGCCAAATTTGCTTATGATATTCTTCAGGGTATTTTCTAAATATTTTAAACGGGAAATTCCTGAAGTGGAAAGTATACATGGTTATGAAATTTTTAATAATATGCATGAAATAAAGGTTTCAAGTACTAAGTAATTCCATCTCTTTGTACTGAACTAAAATTTCCTAATTTTTATTATTAATCGAATTTGAATTACAACCTTATAGACTTCACTTGAAGTATGTATTCATTATTGTTGGATATGACGTATTTTTTACAACCTGTTCACAAACGAACAGCTGCAAAGTTACGTTTTATAAGGGATAATAACCGACTTGATCGCTATAGTGATGCGTATGTCTGGGCTTGGTTTCGAATCCTGAAAAATACTAGAATGCCTGTAACTGTATCGTGTTTAGCGGCATAGGGGCACTTGAAATAAATATTCTCTAGAGGAATTCGCTGTAGGTAGAGATTTGTGAACGATAATTCGCCACCATCACGATTTTGCCACTGGGTGCCACGATTTTGTCTACCTAATCTCTCTAGGTTGAATGTAAGATGGTTTCGACCTCCTTTTTGTTTTCCTTCCTGGGGTACCATGAAAGTAAGTTTAGCTTGCAGTTGGGAGGCCCGGAGTTTGAATCTCGGCATTTTTCACGTCTCCTGCTTCAAAAACCTAATGACTGTGCTAGACGAGGTAAGTCACAACACAACCCACAAACTTTCAAGCAGGTATTGGGCTTACTCTCTGTTTTATAAACTAGAATTATTCTTTTGCTTCTGCAAGCTATTAATAATTGTGAGAAGTATATTACAATGGCGCGATTACCAGCATATCTTATCGTTGCTTATTTAAATCACAGTTTTCCAATTTGAACATTATCAGCCACCCGCGGGTGCTGTTGAGATCGAGGGAGGTGGGGCGCAACTCATCTGAGGGACAGTTTAAGATTCACTAAGAAGCCAGGGAGCAATAAGAACACGTTTAGACGTTTAAATATTCATTTGATTGTAAAAATACTGCAGTTGCGCTTCTTTTTTTTAAAAAAAATTCATTAGACTCTTTCACAGATATTGCTACAAGTTGCACGTAGTTTCCTTTTTTTAATCCAAGAGTTTCGGAATTTATAACTATGAATCGGATATTTATAAAACATGTCACAAATCTCTACTTTCAGAGGTACTCAGTACGCTTTTTTCAATATACATCGTGTCCACAAAAATCCTTACTCGGCAGTCGTTGGTTGTCGACATATTTCCAGTTACAAAAAGGTTTTTAAATATATGTCAACGGCCAGCGGTTATTAATATAAACTCTGGGCAAGGATTTCGTGTGTAGAGTCAGAAAGTCCTCCATAAAGGTATCCCTCTCCTTAGGCAGATAGCCTTAGTGTGCTTTGCCATAATAAAATAAACCAAACCAAACTTGGGTAAGGATTTTTATGAATACGGTATACCATTGTAGCATGCTGTGGCAGGGATCTGCATATTTTGCAGGTTCATATCTGCATGTGTTTAGATAAATTTTTAATCCTTACCATTCTGTTTCTGTTTCATTGGATAAACTTTAATTAATAATTTGATGTTGTGCAAATGAAATAAACGCTTAAAAATGCATGTATATTTTCAGTCAGTGCCTACAGTTTACATTCGAGAGAAATGTAATATATCATCGTTGCATAATTTGGGACAGTGATCAAAATACGAGTAATACTTGAAAAGCGGGGCAGTGAGGTAAACACGTTAGCCCAAACTGTGATTTAAACTATACAGTAAATATTAAGTCTCGCAAATATCTTGGAATGCACATACACGTTATGCGACATTTATGTATACAGGGAATGTTTCTGAACACGACATCGACCGATCATCTAAATTTAGATGTTCTGAAAACTAAATAATTGAAACCGATTATGCTTAAGTGAATGTATAGTATCTAACGGATAATCTGAATGAGGAGTTAATACAAAGTCTGAGAAGACTTTGTAAGTAATTAATTATTGCTTTTTTTTAACACAGAAGTCTGGACATTTTGTCTGTACAAGAGATGACACAGTTCATATCTGTTCGGATGCAGAACGAACCTTGCGACAGATGGGTTATAAATACCTCCTTCCCCATCATTTCACCATAGAAATACCAATTATCAATAGCATACTAAATCTGTGAAGAAAATAAACCCCCATGGGAGTTGTGGAAGTTTTATTTTCGTTGAATATAGAGAAACACGCAGTCGACTTAA